AGCATGCAAGAGCACCACACTGAGAAAAGGCAGTGCCGCACAGGAGGGAAGGGTAGGAGGGCTCCCCGGGGGGGAAATGAGAGCCAAGTGGAGGCTAGATGAGAGGAGTCCTCCACAAGGAGGCATGGCATGAGCTCTCTGAGCAGAGGAACCACTGAGGTGCCGGCCCTGAGAACAGAGAAGCAGGCTAAGACAGGTCCTGTGTATGATGGGGAAGAGGCAGAGAGGGGACAGGGTAGGTAAGCAGACTAGAGACAGGCAGGGGCCAGGGAAAATGAATCACTTGGAAAACCAGGATTGTGCCTGGATTTTTTTAGTCTGAAATCAATGGGGAGTCAAGAATTTTTCAGGAGGGGACTAAAGTGACGCAATTTATTTTTTGAAAGTATAGGAAATAATGGGCAAGGCTGAAGGAGAGGTCATAAAGCAGCTGGTGGTTTTGCAGGAATGAGATGATGGTGGCTAGAACCAGAGAGCAGAAGCTAGAATGCAGGGAATCTAAGAGGTTTGAGAGAGATCTGTCCTTTCATTCATTAACAGTGAGTGGAATGGTAATTATTTTATTTTTTAGGTTTTTATCACAGGGTGTGTGTGCTTGCCAGAGTGAGAGATATAGAAAGGGAAAGTGAGAAATCATCCCCCAATCTCTTCTCCACTCTTCCAGGGATATGGGGCATGCAGGCACATACACCTGGTGTGATTTTCTTTTCTTTTTTTTTTTTTCCCTTTCTCTTTTTTCCCCTTTCTTTAAGGATTTTGCCAAAGAGTGCATGTACTCACTGGAAAAAGATAGAAAGAGACAGAGAGAGTGAAAGTGAGAAATCACCCCCTAGAGGCATGGCCATGCCACAATCCCTTCCTCTCTAGTCTCCTCTTGGAATTTGGGCAGTCACCCACATGCACCCAACATGATTTCAACCCACCATGTCCAGGATTTGAACCATGGTTGGCCAAGTGGGAGTTCAGAGACTTAACCACCATGTAACCTTCTGCCTCCCCACCCCCCGGCATGATTTTCAAGCCTCTACGTCAAGGACTTGAACTGTGATCCGCAATGTGGCATTCCAGCACCCCAACCACTATGCTACCTACTGGTCCTGTGATGGTTAACTTTAATGTGTCAGGTTCACTGAGGTAAGAGACACCCAAGATCTGGTGAAACACCATTTCTGGATGAGATGTTGTTTCTGGAAGAGATGAGCATTTGAGTCAGTAGATTAGGAAAACAGCCCAGTCCTCATCAGTGTAGACAGAATCAGCGAATCTCCTGACCATCCAAATACTGTAGAACAAAAAGTTGGAGGAAGGGCAAATTTCTTTCTTCTTGAGCTGAGACATCCAATTTTCTCCTGTCTTCAGATACCAGAGCTCCTGATTCTCAGGCCCCTGAACTCTGGGACTTACACCAGACTCCATCTTTACTCTCCCCACCCCTGATTTTCATAGTTTTGGCTTCACATTGGGTGTTACTCATTGGCTTCTCTGGTTCTTTTGTTGGTCAATGGCATACTAAGGGACTTCTTGATCTCTGTGATCATGGAAGTTAATTCTCTTAATAAATGTCTCTCGCATGGCTATATATTGGGTTGTCAGAAAAGTCATGACACACATTTGCATCAAACAGAAAAATACATCATGACTTTTCCGATAACCCAATAGATCTCACCGGTTCTGCTTCTCTGGAGAATCCTGATCAGTATGAATGGTCGCTTCCCATGTCCTAGGCGCTTGTTGAATGCTGGGAATTCAGGAAAAGATGAAATTATTCAGGAAGTAATAATATATTTAGGATGAGTGAGCTTGCCGATTTTCCTGTTATCACGCTGTATTGTTTTCTACTGGGTCGTCGGAAAAGCCATGACATTGTTTTCCGATCCAAAAACGAGTCATGATTTTTCCAACAACCCAATGGTTTAATTCCATTGTAGTCGGAGAAAGTACTGTGTGATTTCAACTCTTACATTTGTGGACGTTTGCTTCACAGCCCAGGCTGTGGTCCCCCTTGGGACATATGTTTTTCATGGCCACTTACACAGAATCTGTTTCTGCAATTGTTGGGTGTTCTATAAATTAGATTCCTTTAGTTGACTGTGTTGAGTTCTTTTTTTTTTTTTTTTTTAAGAGAGATTTTTGCTATAGGGCGCG